TGCCGCTGTGGCCAGGCCGCGATATGACCCACACGGCAAAAAGGAATGGGACGGCAAGGTTGGTGTTTGGCCCTTCGTTCAAGTGACGCCAGCGCAGCGTGGAAGCAAGAACAGGTCGAAGGGCGCCATGGTCACCACCCCACAATCCGTCGACGCACCATTTTATTTTAATACAATATTAAATAAGGTTGTCCCCGCCATCCAGGAAAAGTTTCCTAGATGTGGCAGACGGGGTAATGTGCTGATCCAACAAGACAATGCAAGCCCGCACAGAAATGTAACGACAGAAAAGCTTTGTGCACATGGAGTTTGTGGCATTGGAGTGGCTAACCAACCCCCGAACAGCCCCGATTTCAACGTGTTAGATTTAGAATTCTTTAATTCTATTCAAAGCCTACAGTACCAAAAGTGCACTCGAACCATCGAGGAGCTTATTGTGCACTCGAACCATCGAGGAGATTATTGTTGCTGTAGAAAATGCGTTCTATGAGTTGCCGACTGACACGCTTGCAAAGACTTTCGTAACCCTTCAAAAAGTTATGGAATTGTCCATTGAAATACATGGCAGCAACGAGTATAAGCTTCCTCACATGAAGAAGGACGCTCTCATTGCAGACTTTGCATCGTATAATGTCTAGTTTGACGCCTCGTCCACGAGAGCGCTTTGGCTCATTTGAATAGCCGACTTGGTGAGGAGGTTCACCTCGATGCCATGGTCAAGTCTCTTGAATGAGACATTAAAAAAATACAATAAAATTTTTGGTGCGGGTTATGGTGTTTTGGAGTGGCATACAAAAAGCTAGTCGTTTCAATTGCCCAGTGCATACTTTAATCAAGTGAAAATCTACCTGACAGTTTTTGTGGAACGGAGTAGTATAAAACTTCGTATCTCCTTCATTTCTACTCCGTTTTGCTTCATATCACTTGCAATCGACGCGTCTTGCGGCGGAAATATTGCTAGCACTGCTGAATATTGCTAGCACTGCTGAGAACCCTGAAATTCCGTAACGTGCCCACGTTACGGAAGTTTGATCATGCCCATCCCAAGGTCTGGTCGTGAGTTTACGAACGACCAGCGCACGGCAATCTACCATGCCATGCTCGAGATCAAAGTAAACGGTGTTGCACCTCGTGGAGCCATGCGTTCCCTTTGCGAGCAGTATGGAATCACTCGGCAGGGGATGTCTCGCATCTGGAAGCTCGGACAACAGACCAAGGCCAGCCTTGGGTGCGCGAATGTCTCTTCCCGCAAGCGTGGCAACTATGGACGCCGTCCGAAACACACAGACAGTGAATTCGAGGCCATGATCAAAGCTGTCCCAAAGTTTGCATGCTCTGCCTACCGCAGCTTGTCGGCAGCCACCTCGATACCCTTGCCAACCCTGTGGAAGCTGCTCCAACGGAAGCTCCTGCCCCGTCGAACGAGCAGATTGAAGCCCATGCTGACACCAAGCCACAAGACGCAGAGGATTGATTTCGTCCGTGGTTTCGTGCGTCAACAAGGCCAAGGGTGTTACAAGTGGCACGACATGATGGACAGAGTCCACATTGACGAGAAGTGGTTCTACGTCACCAAGGTGAACAGGATATACTACATGTGGCACGATGAGGAAGTACTGCAGCGCAAGTGCAAGTCGAAGCGCCATATCAAAAAGGTCATATTCTTGACCGCAGTGGCACGGCCACGCTTTGACTTTGCAAGGCACACCATCTGGGACGGGAAGCTTGGCACATGGGCGTTCGTCGAAACTCATTTGTCGAAGCGATCAAGCAAAAATCGCCCGCGTGGTACCCCGGTGACGACTCCGGTGATAGTGACGAAGCCCCTGTACCGCCGTTACCTCTTGGAGCACGTGCTGCCTTCGATTCGTGCGAAATAGCCTGGGCCGAGGAGCCACCCAATTTACGTCCAGCAAGACAACGCGAGCCCCACGTCAACAACGATGACCCTGCCATTGTGTCTGCTGGGCGCGCCGATGGATGGGACATTCGTCTGGTTTCGCAGCCGCCTATGAGTCCTGACTTTAATATTTTGGACCTAGGGTTCTTCAACGCAATTCAGGCGTTGCAGCATCAGAAGGTTTCCCGTTGTGTCGACGACCTCCTGACTGCTGTCAAGGATGCCTTCGTGGATTTGGATTGGAAGGTTTTGGACAAGACCTTTATGACTCTACAAAAGGTCATGGATGAGGTATTCAAAATCGTTGGTGATAACGTTTACCGTCTTCCTCATCTCAAGAAGGGTCAAGCCTTCAAGGAAGCTCGCCAAGTTCTGCGGCCAAACTGCGACGAGGATGTGTGCTCTGCGCTTGACGCAATGGACCGGCGCTTTGAGTATGAAGAACGCGTTGAAGCTTTGGTGCATTCACTTTCGAACACTTTGTCGGTAGAAAACTCCAACATCGATGAGATTTGTGGATTAGTCGATGCTGTGAATATCTGAACATTGAACATGCATCATATCATGTAGAGTCTGGTCGTAGAATCATTGAATAAAAATACGGCTTTTGGGTCCAAATCGAATAAAATCACATACAATTCCCAATATAATATAATCCACTAACACTGTAAATAACTGTCAACAGTATTCACGAACGGAGGAAGTACTCCGGAGTAAGAGCATCTCCACCGCAGTTTTGGGAGGTCCGGTTATATTTCGGGCAAAACACACTGCCGTTAAAAGTTTCGCCCAAATTTGAAGGCTTGTACGTATCTATACTAAGCATTTGTATCCAGAATTATCAGAAATAACCAGGAGAGGTGACGGTCACTCCAAATTCGTCGAAAATACCCGAAGTTACACATCAATTGGAGGTCTGGTTATAAAGGCAGTTTTACACAGTGTACAAGTAGGTTATACCTATAAAATCACACGCAAAACACACATTGTGGATTATAAAGGGACCAAATTTAGAGGTGCGGTGGAGATGCTCTAAGACAAGGATTATTCCGGATAATATTCGGATGAGGCTGTGCTTCACATGAGGCTATAAAGCTGCTCCCTGTGGATTGACTGTGAGGACTTTTTAGATTTTTGGGGAGGTCTGGTTATATTTCTGGCAAAACACACTACCGTTAATAGTTTCGCACAAATTTGAAGGCTTTTATTTATACTAACGTTAGTACTAGGCTCCCGATCGAATTGGTGACTTACTGCCAAATTACAAGTTCCCTTCCAAAACATACGTGCACAATTTGCAAATATGACACCATTATGCAACATACCAACCAATTGGGAAGCTACTTGATTTATGAATGAAATATTGCCAAAATTCCAAAAGACTCTCAAACATAGTAAACGACAATCATGCTGACAATATACCAATTAACTAACCAAGCAGGTCCTATACACCGAACTTTGGAGAGCACAAATTTCAACAATATTATTGGCCAGCAACTGCAATGAAATTCCCACCAACATGAATGGTGGCGAATTAAGGCTAATCAAAAGAGCTCACAGTTCACTTCATTTGCACACTTTGCATCCTGTTGTCAATGTGCGTCACTTCCATCATCGAATCCCTGCAAGAGCAGCATGCTGTGGACCAAACTAACTTGGCCGAATGCCTCCGCACGCATGGGGACACCATCGACCAGCACGACGACTTAAGCGAGTTCGCGCATCCCATCATCGACGCCATCCTGGAAGAGTCGGGATGTGATGGTTTTAAAACCATGTGCAACTTCACCAGTGCCGAGTTCGAGATCCTTT